CAATCCTCACAGCCTTCTGGGCACGAATGGAGGACCTGAAGAAGCCGAGCAGGTGACTGGAGCAGGTTTTGTTTCTCTCCACATCTAGAAAGTATAGTTCATTGTTCACTAGCCAGTTCTAATGGTAGGGGTTCATCAGGACAGCCATTTATTTGGAGTAAAGAACGTAATTACAGTATGAACTGACTTTGGGCAGCGCTGCCAGTGCTTTGTCTGGAGTTGTAGCCACTGTAATTGTGAATATTAACTGAGATGGTGAAACCTGGCGTCCAGCTTTTTATTGCATTTTTTCAAGTGGAAAAGTTAAATGGTCGACACAGAAATTGGTGGAGAAATTGTGCATATGCCAATTTTTTGTTAAAAACCTTTTATTTTGAAATCCTGTTTTAAGATCTCAGAACGGTGTGAACAGTCTTCAGCCACAGTTGTGATAGTTGTGAGTGCTCACAACTGTGCAGTCTTAGGGTTTTCCCATCCCGGGGGTTTGCAGGTTGTTCACTTAAAACATCCTTTAAGTGGTTGACTTCTTGTTTGCAAGCCAGCTCATACGACATTAAAGATTCCAGTGTTTGAGCATATGAAAGGCTACTTACTTTCCTGTGCTAGAAATAACAAGCATCTAAAGTGAAGACTTAAAAGAATTTAGTGACTACTAGATTATCCTTAGTACTCTGCATTGATTCTATAATGTTCTTGGTATTAAAAAAGCATATTTGTCATAGAAATTTAGTTACCGTCTTACAACTGAACATGCATGTTGCTTAGCTAAGCAATCGTTTAGATATGTAAACATCTGTATGAGCTGGGATTTTTAAATTTTGAAATGGGAGCTTTTTGTTTAAAAGTTCACTGAAAACTAAAAACAAAAAAAAAATCAGGCGTTCATTAAGAGAAAGGAAAGGATGAGTAGGTGAAGCACAGGCAATTTTTATGGCACTAAACTTTTATATGTGATTTTTTTGTGGCATGAAACTAATGTAGTGATTATCCATCACACGGCATTATGTATTTGGCAAGACCCATAAAACTAACTTTACAGAAGGTGAATTTTGATGTGAACTGTGAGCTTTCGTTAATAAAAATGTATCAATATTAGTTTATTCTAACAAATGTACCCAGGATTTAATAGAGGCAATTTAATGTATACCCTGGGTGGGTATACATATGGTAACTGTACTCTGTGTTCTTATTTTAAAGAGAAGATAATCAAATGTTAAAGAGATGTTAAAATCATGCATGTAGCCAGGCATGATAGTACATACCTGTAATCCCAGCACTGTGGGTGGTTGAGGCAGGAGGACCTCAAATTTGAGCCCAATCTGGGCAAAAACTTGTCTCAAAATAAAAAATGAGAAAAGGCTAAGGGCACAGCTTATTGTGAAGGCCCTGGGTCCAATCCCCTGTACCACCAAATTAAAAAAAAATGCATGTGAAATACTGAGATATCTTCCAAGATATAAAAAAGTAATTAATTGACAGGATAAAAAAGGACAGGAAATAAAACATAAAGTAGAGATCATAATCAATGGTTGAAGAGTCACAAGATTTTCTCCAAGATGGAAATAAACTAAAGATGTCTTCTATTACCAGTTCTATTTATCATTGTATTAGAGAAGATAATGGCTGCTACAGTAAGGCAAGAAAAAAATAGAAAGTATAACTGGAAAAGAAGAAAATTGTCATTCCTTGTAAATTGATTTTTTGGTTTCTTTTGTTTTTTGTTGATATAGGCGATTGAACCCAGGGCCTTTGCACTGAGCTACTTTGCCAGAGCTTTTAACATTTTAAAATTTTGAGTCAGGGTCTTGCTAAAATACTAAGTAGTCCAGGCTGGGCTCCTCTTGCTGCAGCCTCCCCAAGTTCTGGGACTATAGGCTTGTGCTACCACACCCAGCATAAACTGATTTTATATGTAGAAAATCATTATAGGGAATAGATGAGCTTAGAAATATTGCTGGGTAGAACATCTATAGAAAAATTAACTATACTAGCATCAATTAGAAAAGTACATTTAAAATATTTAAGTAACAAATAACCAGGGGAAATAATAAAGATGAGCAAGGTGTCTGTGTAGAACAGTATAAGATTCACTATGAGAAATTAAAGAAGACCTGAAAAAGATAGTGGAATGTACTGTTTCTGAATTGAAAGACTTAATATTGTAAAACTCTCAATTCCCTCCAATTTTTTTGTAAGTTTAATTGTACTTTAGTAAAGGTTTCAGGAAGTTTGTGCGTGTGTGTGTGTGTGTATGTGTGAGAGACAGAGAGAGACAAACGATATCCTGATTCTAAGATATAAATGGAAATTCAAAGGGTCAAGAACAATTAAGGTAGTCTTGATGAAGAATAACAAAGTTGAAGGACTTACATTTCCAGACTTCAGAATTTACTATGAAGCTTCATAATTAAAACAGGACCTTATTGGTGCAAAAATAGACAAACGGAGTAATGGAACAGAATAGAAAGCCTAGAAGTCCAGTGGTACTGCTCAGTTCTCTCCATGATTCTGGTTGCAAACCGAACTGGACAAGAACCATATCAAATTACCCTATAAGGTTGACACTGAACATAACAATTGAGTTTGGTTTGGTTCTCATCCAACTCAGTTTGTGACCAGAGTCATTGGAAGAATCAAGTTCATGAACTGAGGTACTACTGTATATTCAACCCTACACTCCTTTGTATATTTATGACCGTTAGTACTATTGTGATGTGTACCCTGTGAAAATATGGTTATCACTTTTGGAGTAGGAAGCAGTTTTCAAAAAGAAAATGTTTTGGAGGGACCAGAGCTGTTTCCCACTGTATTAGCTATCCCTGTTTCTAGTATCCAGGGCTTTGTTATTCAGGACATTAATTTTCATCATCAAAACAAAGCATGAGTTAGGAATTGGCTTAAGCTGCATTTTTGCAATCTGAAGTATCATCATGCCTATTTGTGCAAATTCAGATACGTTTAATTTTAGGGTATGTATGTCTGGGGATATTATGTAAATACTTCAGGCAATTTGCCAAAATGAAACCCACTAATCTGTATAACCAATATGTGCTAATAACAAGTGTAAAAAACCCCTAAAAGATACTGATAAAAATTGCAGCAATGTAGTTTTTCTTTCTGTAACCATAAAATTGAGGGGCAAGCATGAGATGAGAAATACACATTTCTATTCCACTTGGTTTCTGTGTGTGTCTCATTGTGTGATCATTTTGCTTCAATTGGTGTGATTCTGTGTTTTTCAAAATAATATGTTTATAAAAACTACTACTCCTGGAGATAACAGTAGAGGAAATAGCATCTAGTAAAGTTGGGCAGGAGATGGTTGAGTAAACTTTTCAAGGCAGTATGCCAGCCAGACGACTTGTGTTCAAATCTTAGCTCAGCCCTCCCTAGCTGTGTGGTTTGGTCAGGTAACATAATCCCCTGTGCTCAAAGTCCTTATCTGTAAAACGGAGACACAGTAACAGTAGCACACAATTCATAGCGTTGTTGTGACAAGTAAATGACTAACATAAAGCGTGGCTGGCACAAAGTGAGTACATCATCCATGTTAACTTATTATTGCTTTAGATAGCAGTTCTCCAAGGTGGTACATTCTTAAGGGATTTTCAAGGGAAACTGAATGTAATTCCTTATTCAGTACCTTACCTTGTACTTCAGAACCCAACCCCAGCATGAACTGTGATTTTACTGTATATGACTAGTTTCTTTTTCTGGTGCTTGGTTTTTTAGGGAATTGACACTTGTGGCTGATTGTGGAACAGTCATATGGCATGGAACATGGCTGTTGAGGCAGGCAGGCCTGTGGATTTGTCAAGATGTATTATGAAAGAGGCACTGTTGGCATGCAAATTCCCTGAAGTAGTTTGCTAGTATATATGTGTATATATGTTTGCTATTGTATATTTCAGCTCCCAGTATTTTCTTACACACAGAGATCCCTAAGTGTGTCCCTTTTCATTAGAGCCTATATTCTAGAAAGCCATCTTCACAGTCTCTAGTCTTATGGTATTACTACCAGACCCTGATCCAGTTCCAGGGTTCTGTTATCCATCACTGAGCCATGCATGTTTAACTTACCCTAATAGTTACCTCAGGGAGTTTTGAAGAATTTTAGAGTGGCTTCTTGCCGGCTTACCCCTTTCCTCTCCTATACACAAAGACCCAGACTTTCTTATTTACCTTCTAGGGCTGCCAGAATTGAGATAGGGAATTGCCTGACTTCCACTCCATCCCCTCTTCTCCAGAAAAGCTGCTTTTGGTGTTCAACCATCTCTCCCCAGCACCGAGGTAGACACACCCCTGCTCAGTGTGTGTCCGTAGCTCCTGTCCGCTGTCAGAATGCTGGGGCCTTGCTCAGATCTCTGCTGGGCTGGGAGCTGTTGTTTTCTCTGAGAGGCGTTACTGTTGTGGAGCAGGTTTTTGTTTGCCTCTCTTTTCTTTCCCTCCAACTTTCTCATGTTCTGTGGCTTCTTGGATTTTGCTCAGGAAATAGTGGTCACTTAGACTGTGCTGGCCAACGAGGATATCCTTCTGCCAGGGGTACAAATACATCCAACCAAATGAGTTCTGTCAGTCAGCTTTTTTGGCCATGTTATTTGAGGCTTACACATCTGAGCTTGTTAGGTGCATCCAAAAGAGAGGTTTGTGGCATATGTTAGGGACATTAGAATTACAAGAGTTTGGTTATCCCCAGGCTTGGTAGATTAGAGAGTTGGTCTTGACGCAGAACTACTTACGATCACTTTCCCATCTTCATGTCTTAAAACCAAGGAAATAAAAGATTAATGAGTTCTATTTTAAGACTATTTGTGTGGTGTGTCAAACAGCTTATGAATGTACAAACATTGACTATTTCATGGTAGTGATGTGTACTTATATGTTGCTAGTTGAGGAATTTTGAAAAAACTTACATAACCAGATACTTTAGACTTTATCTTTCAAGTTGTACTAAAATGTTAACAATATCTTTTTTGTGTGTTTTTTCCCTTTCTTTCTAGAATATTTTCCTTCTTGGATATAGTAACTTTGTGCCGATGTGCACAGATTTCTAAGGTAGTGTATTCACTAGATTTTTAATAAATACCATGTTTTATTGGAATAAAGATGAGCTTTAGTTCAAATTAAGTGTTAAAGTGCCACTATCTTTTATATTTAATATAATATTAATATAATTCTGTAATTGATTATTAATATATATCAAGAATAAAAGTTTGGAAATACAAAGGTTGCAAATAGACTTTTTTTTTCAAAAGACTCAATAGAGGTACCTCTTTCACCTCCACCCATTTTTCTTTTTTCTCCTACTACCCAGGCTTGGAACGTCTTAGCCCTAGATGGAAGCAACTGGCAAAGAATAGATCTTTTTAACTTTCAAACAGATGTAGAGGTAAGTTAATTAATTTTGTTTGGAGGGCTTTTCAGAAAGATAAGCAACTACTGTCTCTATCTTCTTTTTTACTATATTTTAGATTTTTTTTTCTTTTTTAGTATATGTGCTGCCAAAGTGAGCACATAGATTTTTTTTTCTTTTTAGTGAGACAGGGTCTCACTATGTAGTTCATGTTGGCTTTCAACTCATTGTGTAGCCCAGGCTGGCCTTGAACTCATAGTGATCCTCCTGCCTCAGCCTCCTGAGTGCTGGGATTACAGTCATGTGCAACTACGCCCAACCTGCATTTTAGATTTAATATTAAAGGTTTTTTGTTTTTTGAGACAAGATTTCACTTTGTAGTTCAGGTTGGCTTCAAACTTACAGCAGTCCTCTTGCCTCAGCCTCATGAGTGCTGGGATTACAGGGGTACCCCACCACTCCCAGCATATTAAAGTGTTCAAGTAGAACAGAAGAAAAAAAAATCTGGAAGATCTTTGTGTATATCAGGTCCAAATTTTCCCTTGTCTTCTATTTTTGCTCTGCATCAGTAACAGACAGCTTTCCCCCTTGCTCATGCTCATAATCTGAGTTTTACCACTCATCACTTTAAAGTCTTGCAGCTCTGTCATTAACACTTAACCTAACTTAATCCTTTGTAGGAGATCGGACAAATATTTATTGATCTGAAGGATCTGGGAATTGTAATTCAGCTTTAAGAATGGGGAAATGCCTTAGGTATAGGCCTAGGAGTGAGGCTGCATATGTGAAGTCCCTCCATTTGGCTACTTAAATTTACAATCTCTCAGGCCTGTTTAATTACCTGCAAAATAAAGAAGTATTATTTAAAACCCTTTCTAATTGCAGGATTCTGTCTTACAAGGTATGATAAAAAATACAGTATGTGTTTAAGTGAAGACTTATTACAGTAAGACACATTCCTTCACTTTGAACATATTTATCCCATTGTTCTTGTCACTTTCTGCATCTTTAGTTGCATTCTGTGGCTGCCTTGATGTCCTAAATTGATTCAAAACATTTTCCTTTTGTGGTCATTTTGACTTTTGGAAGAACCAGAAGTCACAGTCTGGTCCAGTGAATAAGATGAATGAGGAGGATGCACCATAATGGTTTAATGAGCCCGCGTTTCCATTGGGTGGCACTTGGCAGCAGCAGTCGTCATATTTTTTATCGTATTTTGTAAATATACTCACGTAAGACTTCCAGAACTACTTCAGGAAAATTACAAGACCCATGGGATAGGTGGGTGTGTTCATGGTGGGATGGTTTTGAGGGGAATTAATGGCAATATATCTTTTAATGTAATGAATGTTTAAAAATTTTAAACATTAAATATATTTTTGATCACCCCTTATATTTGTCTAGAAATATATAAATATTTCAATTTAAGAGTGGTAAGCCTACACAAATAAATAAAATTTATTTTAAAACAACTTTAACATGTTCACAGCAGGCTGTGATTCCTGTGTCTTGCTGCTGGGTGATTTGGATCACCAGTGGTACATGCATGAGTATCTCATCGGGTAGCTTGAATTACGGGTGGCATAAACAGATCTAATCACTTTTATTGGTCTTTTTACTGATAAAATTAATAAAAAGCTACTGGTAGGATAGTCAGGCATGTACCTCTGGTGGTTTGAGCAAGCAGGAACATGTTAATATTAAATACCACATTTCTTTTTTTTTTTTTTGGTCTTTTTGAGACAGGGTCTTGCTATGCAGTTCAGGCTGGCCTTGAGCTCACTTTGTAGCCCAGGCTGGCCTCAAACTTGCAATGATCCTCCCATCTCAGCCTCCCGAGTGCTGGGATTACAGGCGTGCACCACCACACCCACCACGCCTGGTTTAAATACCACATTTTTAATAAAAAAGTGAGAATGGGAGTGATAAAGAGCATTGCACAGAATAACTGCTTTAAGTGCTGATTGGAGGGTGTTGAGATACCAGAGTTGTTTATTTTCCCAGTGTTAGTAAAACCTTATTCCTTTTCCATTTAGCCAGTGTATTTACTGCAATGGAATTGCATTTTAATTCAGTTACTATTGTAGTATATTTGCCAATTATTTTACCAAGGTATGTGTTTTGTGTCTTTTTTAATAAATAAGGAAATGGTTATGTTTAACAGTGATATAAGTCCAAGCAATTTCCTCCCAGTTACTTAACTTAGCAGAACCTAGAAGAACCAGTGGCCTGATGTGGGGGCCCCTTCTCCCCTCCCCGCGGTCACTTGCTGTGTAAGAGTCTGATCTCTGTTTTCATCCAGTGGAGGTGGCACGTACAGCAAGTGTACAGCAAGTGTTGTTTTTGAATTTCATGTTATTCTACTGCTAGGTAAGCAGCATGAAAAAATGATACTTTTTCTAACTTTCTGTATTCAAGGGTCGAGTAGTGGAAAATATCTCAAAGCGATGTGGTGGATTCCTAAGGAAGCTCAGCTTGCGAGGCTGCATTGGTGTGGGGGATTCCTCCTTGAAGTAAGTCAAATCCACAGTGACCCACTCTGTCATGGCAGCTTATAGCTGACGTTTTGTGAGCAAAAAATAAACCAAATATATCATAAGCTTTTTTTGCTCTTTCTATGACAGTTTGTGTAGGGGAATGAGAGAACCATGACTTTAGAATAACAGGTGATCTCTACTGTGAGGTATGCAAACTTGGGACAGATTTTTTCACCTGGTTGAGTATCAGTTCTCTCTCTTGCAAAGTAGGGCAGTTACATTTCACGCACTGGAGTGCTGTGAACATCACATGAAACATGTGTGAAGTGCTTGGCATGTAATAACATTATACTTGTTCACCTTTCTCCCTTTCTTCACTTGCCCATCTTCCTAATTTCTCAGAAAATTATAGAAAAAATAATACTTTCAAAAATTTCCTTACCATAAGGTAGAATTTGCATATTCCTAATGGGATATGATTTTTACATGCATTTTATCATAGTTAGCAATATCCCTAGCCAACTAGATGCATATCGCTCCTTACTGGGTAGCTATTATTTAAAGGGGATGTTATCAAACCACTATTAATAACATGTTCTTTAAGATTTTTTGGAGATAGACAAGGGTAGACCCTTTATATCCTTATTATAGTGGCATTTAGCATTAGTTCTAAGATTGGTTAGACTAGAACATGACCCTTGGAAGCTTGGAACAGGCCTACGTATTACTACAGTATACATCCTTTGCAGGCCTCCAGGAGGAATGTGCTATGTATAGTCAATGCAGACAGTAGGTTTTATAATTCAAATGCCTGCTACATGCTTGCTGAGAAATTGGGCTCAGCACTTTAAGGATCAAAACACTTCAAATGCTATGGAACAAAGTGTTTTTTTTTTTTTTTTTCAATTAAGAAATTTGGACCATTATACTAGATTTTTTTTTGGTGCTTCAGAATCTTTGTAAACCAATGAAATGAATTGAGTCTACCTAAGAGAAGATTAAATGTAGCAGTAGGTCCTAAGAAAATTTGTAATAAAGAACATAAATCTAATAGTGGTTCCATTAAATTGAATGTGAAGATATGAACTGTCAGGAAAGGATGTCCAAGAAATGCATTCTTTCCTTGACAATCAGAATACAACCTTATCTACTAGCAAAACAGTCTTTTGAAGCCAATAATGTTTATTGGTTTTAGAGCAAAAATCTGTATAATTGGTTAGCTATCTATGCATTTTTCTATGTGAAGAGTACATTATTATAAGACATAAGTATAGTCACAAAGTTAGGACTGAAAAAAATTTATTATTCCTTCAGTTTTGTATAGAAATCATTTGGAGCCAGCCTTGGCCTCTACTCTTGCCCACATGTGTATAGCTTAGAGAAAACTATTCATTTATAAACATTATTGCTGTGGAGGTCAATGTGGAGATTACTCAAAAAACTAGAACTAGAGGAGGTGCCATACTATTGCCCTTCTTGGTATCACCCTGAAAGAATTAAAAGCATCATACCACAGTGATATATGCACTGTCATGTTTATAGTGGCACATTTTGTAATAGCCAACTCTTGGAAACAGCCCAAGTGCCTATCAACTGGTGAATGGATAAAGGTGGTGTGGGGTTTTTTTTTTATACGATGGAGTACTACTCTGCCATAAAGAAGTATAAGCTGAAGACATTTCTAGGTAAATGGATGCACATTGATACCATATGCTTAAGTGAAATAAACCAGACACATGTGTAAGATTTCATTGTTTCACTGGTGTGAGAAACTGAAAGTGTAAATAAGGACCAAAATGTATAATAGGTATTGTGAAGTAGGAAGAAAATGCTCAAATGGGGAGGGGAACAAGAGAAGGAAAGAAGGGAAAAGTTTAAAAAAAATGAGAAAAGAAGAAAAAAAATGGAAATAAAGCTTTTGTAAATGCGGAGGGGAGGAGAAGTTGAAAGAAGGGCAGGGGAATTGGGAAAAAAAAGAAACAAGTTATATCATGCACAGGTACAAATTCTCTATGATGAATGTGATCATTATGTATATCTAAAATGTACCAATAAAATCTGATTGGAAAAGAATTTATCACTCACACATAAAAAATTTTTTTAAAAATTCATTGAGTCCTTACTAGAAAAAATACTGCATAAGGCAGTGGCAATACAATAGCACATCCAATAGATTAAAAATATAATTAAGTTGGATACATTTTCTGTAGCTCCTTCTACTATATAGAAGTCCTGTGGTATTTTTGTTTGTTGATTGGTACTGGGGATTGACCCAGGGCCCTCTCACAGAGCTACATCCTCAGCTCTTAAATTTTGACACAGGGTCTTAATTGTCCAGACTGGGCTTGAACTTGTGACCCTCTTGCCTCAACCTCACCCTACAGGTTAACAACTTTATTGAGATGTAATTAAGGCAAAATAGACTGGGCATATTAAAGTATATAATTTGGTAACTTTTGACATGTGAATATGCTCTCAAATCAATACCATAGATATATTAGGTACAGTCAGCCCTCCATATCCATGAATTTCACAACCATGTATTCAACCAACCACAGATCAAAAATATATACTAAACATGTACATCTATTTTTCTTTCCCTAAACAATACAATATAACCACGATATAGCACTTACATTGCAGTAGGTATAACAAATCTAGAGATGATTTAAAGGTCAGGAGAGGATGTTTATAAGTCATATGCAAATACCATGTCCTTTTAGTTAAAGGACTTGAGCATCCACAGATTTTGGTATCTGTGGGGAGATCTTGGAACCATTCCCCAGAGATCCTGATGGACCACTGGGACTTCTTTTTGCCTGGATCCTTCCACTCAGCATAATGGCTTTGAGATTTATCTGCATTGTGTACATCAACACCTCTTTCATTTCCATTGTTAAATACAGTTCATTGCATGGGTATACAGCTTGGATGATGAGGAGTTAGACCCTATAAACCTATCTTAAGTTGGAAATATTACTAAGTTGAATGTGCATTTAATATACCTAACATACATCATAGCCAAGGCTAACCTTAAATGTGTCACAACACTTACATTAGCCTACAGCTGGGCAAAATCACCTACTACAAAGCCAATTCTATAATAAGTGTTGATATCTCAAGTAATTTGTTGAATTCCTATATCTAAAACATGCCAGCAATGCAGTCATCACCCTGTAGAATTTTAGTTCTTCATGCTGGTGCTAACATGGCTGATTGGGAGCTGTGGCTCTTTGCCATTGCCCTGCATCACGAGAGAGCGTCACACTTCATCGTGCTAAACAGGAAAAACCAAAATTCAAAATCCAAAGTGCAGTTTCTACTGAATGTGTGTTGCTTTCATACTATCATATATCAAAAAATTCTAAGTTAGAACATTATAAGTTAGGTATTTACAGTGTATTTATTCCTTTATCTGTTTATCGACATTTGGATTTGTTCCAGGTTAGGGTTATTAAAAATAAAGCTACCGTTGAAGCTGAGCCTGGTACTGCACACCTGGAATCCCAGCTCTCTGGGAGGCTGAGGCAGGAGGACTGAGCATTTACACCTAATCTGAGCAATTTAATGACTTAGCAAAACCATGTTTCACAATAAAAAAGCCAGGAATGTAGCTCAGTGTGAAAGGTTTAGGTTCAGTCCCCAGTACTGATAGAGAGATAGGTAAACAAGCAAGCAAATAAAGCTGCTGTGAATGTTTGCATATGTCTTTGTATGATACATGCTTTCATTTCTCCTGGATAAATACCCAAGAGTTGAATAGCTAAATCATTGGGTAGGTGTATGTTTAACTTTTAAAGAACTTCCAAACTGTTTCTCAATGAGATTGTATCATTCTGTATTCCCACCAGTGATATGTGATACTTTTGGTTCTTCTACATTCTTGTCAACATTAGCTATGGTCAGTTTCTTTAAATTGTATTCTTTTCCTAGGTGTGTATGTTGTATAGTATTGCTTTAATTTTCATTTCTTTAATGAGTAAGATTACTTTCTCTACTGATGCAGTTTAGCATCTTTTTAATGTATCTATTTGCTATCTATCTATCTTTGGTGAAATATTGGTTCAAATCTTTTGTGCATTGTTTTTATTAGATTATTTTCTTGACCATTGACTTTTTTTGTCAGACCATCTTTTCAACGAATATTTTCTTATGCTTCTTAGCTAGCTGGGCACTCTCATGTACCACTGTGGATGTCCTCTACATTGTCATGAGGGTGCTGGCATGGACACTACAGCTGGCAGACTGGGCAGTCCCCAGGGTCTCTGTAATGGTTCTAGAAAGTGTCACATTTGTCAGGCAACATTAGAATCTTGTCAAAAGTTACATTCCATCGTGTTTAATACTTTTCTTTTGTCTCTTGGCGGGTCCTCACTGGCCTCGATGGTCAGGGCAGAGGCAGAAGGCACCACCTCCATCTGGGTCTGTCTGTTCTGACCAGTCAGTTTCACCATAATCCTCAGACTCTTCCAATCACCATGTGCCTTGGTGATGTCATCACCTGCTTCTTTTGGAGACCAAAAGGGGGTTGATCTTGGGGGCCAGGGCAGACATGATGCTGACCTCACCACTGGAGCATCTCAGGTATGTGACTTTGATCCCATGTTGGATCTCGGGGTCAAACTTGGGCAGCATGGTGGAGGCAGCTGGTGTAAGATGAACCTGGTAGATTTGGGACGCTGAAGAAAGTTGCATCTAGCCTCTTCCTAGCTGAAAGCTTTAACTATTGACTTTTGAGAGTTCTTAATACATCCTAGATACTAGTCCATTGTCAGATATGTATTGTGTAAATATTTTCTCCCAGTCTATAGCTTCTTTTTCATCTTTTTAACTGCCTTTTTGAAGAGAGGTTTTTAAATTTTAAGGAAGTTCAGTTTATCTATTTTCTCTTGTGGACATTTCTTTTGGAATAAGAAATTGATGTTTAACCCGAGGTCATAAGGACTTTTTCCTCTAAGTTTTGTGGTTTAGGTCTATGTTCCATTCCTGGGGGGCTTTTATATATGGTATAAGGTCTACATTGAACTTCTCTTTGG